TTTCTGAACCATTCCAATATATTCTTCCCAAGGCCATAAATTGCCAATGTTAAGAGCCGAGTACACTGGAGTTCCTAGGAGAATACACTTATGCTGACTATGAATAGGTGAAGTTGTTACAATCCTTTCACAAATTATGCCTTATTATTTGTTCTTGGAAGTTATAAAATATCTGGGCTAAAAGTAAAGGATGCACAAGGACTGGCTTATAATTCGGTTGGAAAAGAGCTAAATAGCAACTCAAACGTGCATTAAGGACTCGAGCCTTGTTCTTTTGAAATCAATAGGCGTATTGTACCCAGCTTTTATGGAAGCAGGACATCTACGAATCCAGTAATCCATGAGTTCATTCTCTTGGCTCACTGTTTAGGCAGAAGCAGATGACTGTAGGTCATATGTGCATCTTTCTATGGAAGCTATATAGGGGTATAGGCAAATCTGCTTTCACTGAAAAAGGACAACATGTGCAACTGCATATTTACTAACATTAATCAATATGCATAGAAAGGAGAGAAAGAGGAAGTGATACAGAACTCAGTCCAGCAATTAAAGATTTTCCTCCTCTTCATAATCAACATAAACAGTTGATCATCATTATTATTATTTTCTTTACAAGTTATTACTTTAAAACCCCTCCTTTTGAACCTATTATGAAAACCCTTCAATTATTTCATTGTAGAATAAGACTAAGAAAATGAGTATGTTTAGAAGAAAATAGTATCAGTGATTTTCAGCACTCTGCATAAGGGCAGTGTAAGGCTGGCTGTAGTTTGTGCTGAAATGTGAGAGCAGAGTTCACACATGAAACACTGCTGGCTTGACCCTGAACACAGGGAAAGTGCTAAAGTGCTGACCCCAACAGGCTTGGCTTTGCACCTGAAATCTAAAAAAAAGAAGAAATAAAAATCCTTGAACTTTTCTTTAATAGTAACACAGACTGCTCCTTTTAGAGGAGAGAGACTTTTTTTCCTGCCTCCTTTCCAATTAGACTGCTGCTTTTAGCCCAGCAGAGAATAAATGACTTAAGACACAGAACATGGAGGTCAGATCTATAGTAAACACAGAAGCCATGAAGAAATTTTTTTTGCCATCTACTGAGAAGCTCTGGAAGTCCCTAGTACTGTAGAGTCATCATATTGGCTCCACATCATCTTCTGTCTGGTTGTGAGTACATTAAACATTGCTGAAGAAAAGGAACGTGGCTAGGCAACAAGATGATTCCTAAATGCTGGAAGAATTCCCTTAAGGGCTGCTGGAAGCGCACAAAGCTTGGAGCATCCTGAGGATGTGGAATGATACAGAAGTGTGCTGTTAAACCATGTTTGTACCCTTATTTCCTCCTGAGTTAAAACAAGTGCAGAGTGCTGGGTTAGATTCATCGATAGGAAGAAGGAACTGTGCTAGCTTCTGTTAATGCCAAGTAGACAACTCCCATTTGCTTTAGAGGTACTAGATCCACTCTGAAAAACCATGTAGGAAGTCCCACTCTCGATAAAGAGTTTCTACTCTGCTCTGTTGACATCAAAGGCTGCTCCATCCATTTAATTTTCTCTTATTGTTTGCAACAGTCCTTCCCCGTCCCCCATGCATTGAATGTTTTTAATGTAAACATGCCCTGGCAATATTATGTTTAAATAAGTAAGAGACATGTCAGAATATCTCAACAGTATTGGTATTGCATATTTAATTCAAAAGCTTGCATGTGCTTTTAAAAGTTTCTCTTCGAACCTGCATGCCTTACTGGAAAGAATTGTGTTGCAGTTGGATTGCACATCATCATCTAGTGCTGACTAAATATTGATGTGTTATAGCAGTTTATTTTTAAGCTGTTTGGGATGAATCCCCAGCCAGTGTAAATTGGCCCACATTTAAGGCAACAGAGTGAAGCTGATTTATACCAGCTGAGGCTGTGTCCTTATGCCCTGTTGAAAGCTCAAACTATCCCAAAATTAGTAAAGAACAGGGCAAGAATTACGAACCCAGGCAATATTTTTTTTCTATTTTTAACAGAAAAAAAAGAATACAGTGATCTCATTTCAAGACTACACCAAAGATTCAGTAGTATTTAAAATGTATACAAATATCTCATAGCTAGTATTTAGACTAAGAGGTAGATGTCATATTCTAGGAATAGTATAGTGTGGAATGATGCTAAAGGCGGTTGCTAAATACATCTGTTTGCCTGTTACACAGGACACAAAGGAGGGTTATAGCAATGGCAACCACAAGAAGGCTTACAATATTCTTTTCTTCATTTGCTATTCTATGTTATCTGTCTTTCGGTGCATTCCTTCTGGAAGGGTATGGCGGAAAAGTGGCGAGAAGTAAAAAGATCAGTAATACAAAACTTCACGTTTACAAAACGTTAACTTTATCATTAAAGGCATCCTCTGTAGTTTGATGGAAGCATTTTGTACTTACAATTTAAGATTACCTGGCGTTACTGAGCAAGTAGTGGAAATTCCAGGTGAGGTGATTCAGCAAAATAGGGGTCAGAAGAATGCAGCTCGCTCTCTCTTTCTCTGTTGTTCATGCTAAAAATACCAGGGCATATGGCAGCATATTTCAGCATCTTAACATACTAGGCTCCCTTGAGGACAGAAAAAAAGAGGAAACTTGTGCTGTTGAGCCAGAAATAGATTACAGAACAGTGTTGCCAGACATACAGAGAGCTGGCAGCAAAGCTGTTAGCGGAGTCAGTGTCTTACTTTGCCTAAAGGTGTTTCAGTGATATTTAATGGGCCTCAAATAAATGGAAAGCAAAGCTAGTGAGAATGAGGAGTGGTAATAAGCATTTTTATAAATTAGTTGTCATTGCCAGTAGAGGAATTACACATATTGCATTAGGATATCCACTGCTTGTATATGTACCTTCCAGTTTTTCCTTGTGACTGTTAGGGGTCATCCCCCTGCTTGAAATAATCAAAATGCATATTATAATTACACGGTTTTCCAATATCCATACACAGCAAGTACAAGATACTTACATGTAAGTACACTGTATTTACCTATATTTTTGCATAGTTTTTAGTGTGTACTTTGTGCCACTTAATAAAAAGCATTACTCATTATTTTTCTTGTTGTTGTTTGTTTTTCTCTATTAGACAGCTTATTCAATTAAAGTTGAAGTAGCTGGATTTTTGGTATGTTCATCACAGATTACCAGTTCCTAGGAGTGTAGAGATTAGACACTTGGAGGAGTCTGGGTAAGCGGTGGGGGAAGCTGTAGTGTGAACATGAAGTTTTAAATCACCTCCTTAATTAAGAAATGCAATATCAGATTTACGGTGCTAATTTAATAAACTTACCTTTAATTTGAATGGAATCGTAAAGGTAAGAACTCCATTTTCCTTTTGGTAACACTTTACAATAAGTGGCACTAAATTACACTATAACTGCTATGTTACAGGGAATTACATGTAACTACACTGTAACTGTTGAAATAGCTACTGTACATGTGCGTACATGGTAACTTCAGTGCTGTTACAATCATGAATTACATAATTACAGATGATTCTGTCCTTTCTTTTCATTGAAGTAGTTATATATATATTATACTGTAATGAAAATACACAAGATGTTAACTTTCATGTCTTATTTAGAAAAGTTCGTTTTCTTCATGTATTCCTTTATCAAGGGAGTCTCAGTGCAAGACGAACCATCCTTAAGTAATGTGGAAACTGCTTAAAGTGTTCTAGCTTAAATTCTGAGCCTCAAGTTACACATCAGGTTCCTTAAACTGTTTCTTGGTTTGTCAGACGACACTAAAAGAGTGGGAGGATGCACCCCTTGTCTTCTGATGCACCGCTTTCTTGTTCAAATCATGAGAATGTTCTCGAAGCATAAAAAAAAAAAAAATAAAAAAAATCTACATCAAAAAGTTTAAAAATAATCAGCAATCAACACTGTAAACAGTACACTGGCAGAAACTAGCTACCTGGTCTTGAGAAAACTACTCTGCAAGTGTGAGTGGGAGAGGATGTCACATACATTTTAGTGAGGGTGGTTCCCATTCAAAGCCTCCATTTTACACATTCACTGGATAGCTCACATCATAATAAAAGCAGTATTTCAGAATGGGATCTTGGACAAAGGGAACGGATGACTGGCTTTTAGCCTACTGAATGTCATTAGTGTTGAGCCATGGTTCTGCTTACAAAAAAGAGGGATGACTTTTTACACCTAGTGTAGTAATTTAAACCTGTGAAGCCCAAACAGGCCTGCAAAGTGCTATCCAGGCAGAATGCTTGGTGTGGGCTTTTTCACACCTGCTTTGCACAGATGCAAGGGACATCACCAGGTGCAAGATAATGGAAGATCAACTGCATTAAAAATGAGCAGATGTGAGAAGTTTACAATTTATATCTCTTTTTGCAAAGTTTAAATGCTGTTTCTATGCCACTGGAGAAAACGGTTTGAAATGGTTACCCCAAGGGCACTCGTGCTTTTGAAGGTCCTACCTGACCTTGCTTGGGTAATGGTTCAAGTAACAACCCTACTATTCAAGCAAGCTGGAGTTAGGAAGAATGAAAAAAGGCATAAACACCACACTGGCGGGGAATTCCACTTGAGCAAATAAGGCCCTCATCCAGGGAAGCACTTATTTTTAAGCATATGAATAGTGCCTTACAGTCCAATGGAACTTCTCCAATGCCTGAAGCTGAGCATGTGCTTAGATGCTTAGTTGAACTGGGCCCCAGGTCCTGAAATAAAACCTTGTCGTATGTGATACTGTACTGTAACTAATGTAACTTACTGTTGTAACAAGAACCCATATTTTTGGTATTAAACTGAATTACTTCCTTTGCCAGCCTTTTACACGTGTATGTTTTGAAAGACATGAATATCTTGTAAACCTATACTAGTTTTCAATGTGCCTAGTAGCATCTACCTGGTTCTCTCAAACTACCATATTATAGTAACATATTATTGCATTTTTCCACAGATGAGTATGGAGTGAACTGTAAAAACAAGCATGCAATCACATCAATGCAGACTTATTTCTTTAAAATGTCATACTGTATATGATTTATTATGTTAACACTCAACCACATCATATTATTTATGTCTGTATATTTTGAAAAAAAGTGCTGCTTTGATTGACGTCACCCTTTTTTCTTAGAAATTAGCAGGATAAATGTTTCAACAAAAACAGTTAAAATACTCTAATATTGTCCTTAAAAGGTTTATACTCTTCTGATAAATAATCTGACACAGCACCTTTATCTTCCATTTTACCATACTACATGATGTCGTATTCCAAACTCTCCCTTCCCCACACAAAAATAAAATCCCAGGAGAAAGTCCTTTACAGCAGACCATCATGCTTTTAGGCTTCACGAGTACAGCAACCAGAGAGAAATACTCTTTTGTCAAAGGTGCAAAACTTAGGAGCAAGACGAGCTCCAGCTAGACTAACTTGCGTTCTCCAGTGTAGAATCATTTCCAAGAGCTGTTACGGCAACCTTTTTATTTCATTGGAAGAGGAAATAAGCCAATGGGCTTACAGTGTTTTGTTGTCATATTTAAGAGCATGTGATTTTTCAGCTGTCAATTACACAAAAAATTTCAGAAATAATCCAAACAGAGACTTTCACTGTGGAGCTAAAAGCATGGCAGGAATTCTCTATCATTCACGGTGACATAAGTTTGTACCTCACAAAATGCATAGACAGGAATTTAATATAAAGAATTAGTCCATTTACTGTATACACAAAACATATATCTTTTGTTTTAACACTTCTATTTTTTTCTTTTTTTTTCTTTTTTCTTTTTTTTTGGCAAACCAACATAGAGAAGCAGCTCTGGAACTGCCAAATTAAAAATTGAGAATTTTAGCAACTCAATAGTATTTTTTAAGGATAGTAATCAAATGTGGTTGTAATTTAAAACCTGAGGCTGTGCACTGGTTGTTAGCTTAAAACTACCTTTCCATATAACATTGTGCTTCCATTGTATAACAAAGAAAAAATTAACAAGAACTAGAAAAGTTTGCTGCTGAACAGTGCTAGGACATACAGACAAAAAAATACTAACACATGTTATCTACTCAGAATATTGATTTGAGTCATATCTAAAGGGATATAATGGACATTAGAAAATGCTTACTTGTGACTGACTTAGCTACTGCCAAAAAAGTTAAATATGTATCAAATAATGTTTAATTGAATTTATTATATGCACTATATACAGATACTAAAATGCCTTGCAGTTGTGCCCCATGAACACTTTGAATTTGAGTAGGCAGGTGAGTTCATGTGAAGCAAATAAATTATAAAACCAGAAATTACTCAGAAAGTTCTCTAATCTTTGCGATCCCAAAAAGCAGTAAAAGGGCAGGACAAATTTGTTTCAAATGAAGCACTACTATCTAACTTTGCAGAATCTGTATAGCTAGCTATTCAGCATGTTTTTATCACTGAAACATGGCACTGTTGTCAAGGTACCATTTAAAACATAACAAAACAAAGGAAAACAAAACAAAAAATTCAGTGGACTGATAGTTTTTTTCCACCAAATCCAAGCATACAAGAAACTACACTAAAAACATTCCAGTTTGTGTTTCCTAGGGCATATGTTTCAAAAACAAGTTGCTTTTTGAATTATAGATAGACATGTATAAAACATTCTTTGTAAACCTCTAATCTTAGACTTAACATTTTATGTAAGTAAATTAGGTCCTTACCTAATAGTATTTGTTATGAATATCGTTCTATGACACACTAGTAGGGACATGATAAAAGAAAACTGAAAAAGAAGAAAGCTGCATAACATTTAAAAATGTAGAAAACTTGGATTAAGATGATGATTAACATTGTTAAGGCTGTATATTCAAGCACTGTATGTTAAGAGAGCAGTGGATATGAATTTTAGGCAATAAGAAATGTCCTGGTTTACGCATGATACTGTAATTATAGAATGATGATGTCAACAGCTGATTGTTGGCATAAACTGGCTACTTATAGCAAGTATGCGAGTTAATAAAGATAGCAGAAGATGGCAGAAATGAATTCTGAAAAATGATAGCCAGTTTTCTCCAGCAGTCAGCCTGATAAGTAAAACTCCAAGATTCTAGCTCTGCATCTAAATGAAATACTCTTTTTTCTCCTCTGCATTGACTTGGCTGCCTTCTGCATTGATAATGGCTGTGTCGGCATCAGGTGCATCTTCAGCTCCTTTTGCTTCATTTGTTAAATATGTTCCTATAGGAATCAGTACAACAGAAAAGAAAAAAAAAAAAAAGGAAAGATTAGGGTTTTTTTAGCTTTACGCTGCATTATAGTAAGTACATTTCTAACAATTGCTTCATGAACGGACAAATATTTTTACACAATTTTAGTATACATCACACAGGTATGCTCAACTTTCTAACTTGCCTAAGAAATATTTATAGTGTTAATACTGATAATGCACATACACAAATTTAAGTATATCCACAATAAATTAAGGAAATCTTTTAATAAAACCCCACTTTATCTAACTGCAGCAATATGCAATATATTTTGCAATTATAGAATAAGTGATAAAATCTTGGTTACTTCATGGAACAGCTACTCATGAAAACCAAACCAACTTTGAAGAGTTAGATATTCATAAACACTTATTTTTTTTAAAAAATGGCCACCTATTATTTTTGTATTTCTACTTTTTCTTGACAGTATCTATACTTCAATTTTACAGAAGTGTATAATAGTCATTTCCAAGATTTACAAATTTGAGGTAGTTTTATTAACTGAACCCGCTCACATTATACTATCACAGATATTTTTATGCTCAGGATATGAATAAAAAGAATTGTGTACAATAGTCAACTTTCCCTTTGTGAAAAGTATTATTTATGTTGGCATAAGACGTATAACTGCTCATTCAGGAAAGTAAAACAAAAGAGACACACTTTCACTGGCTCATTAAAAAAATCTTGTTTTCCCACACACAGTCCAATCAAATTAAAAAGATGCTTTTATCAGCTTATGTCTGCTAGCCATATGATTATCCTATCTAAAATGAGATTTAATGAGTTAATACCAACACTAATCCTCTCTTCACTTTTCTTTTTTTTTTGGAGGGGGGTGGGCAGGGAATCAACCAAGTTTTAACAATAGGTCTACAAGCCATTTGGAGGTTAAATCTCAAGAAATTATTTTGGAATTAACTAGGTCAAAATAGGATCATAGAGAAGCTTAGTCAGAAGTCAGTGTCACTCCATCCCTGTTATCTCTAATGGCGGGGGGGATTGAAAATGAAGGGAGTAGAATTCTTAAGGTGAAATCTCTGAGTAAAGTAAAGCTTGGCCAAGAAATTAACTCCGTATTCCAGCAGGATCATTGGTAAAACAGTCACTGATCTGAAAACTCACCACCAGCTTCTAATACTATCTTTTAAATACATACTTAAAATATTAGCAGAGTTTATTAAAATGAAAAATCTTGTTCACTGTCTCTCTCTACATATATAATGTAATCAAGTGTCTAGAGCTAGGGGCCAAAACCAAGGGACAATCTTACCTCTTAGTCTCTCTAAATCACTGACTTATGAGATGATCTTGGGCATGTAACTAAATGTCCTTTGCCTTAGCCAGTCCACAGGAAAACTGGGTAAAATTCACAGGGACTTCACTTGTGACTGGACTGTGTGTGAGCTTTCTTGTCCAAATCAAGAAAAAAATGCTTCCAAAAGCGACTAACTTCCATTAAATCTGTCCTACCTTTATGTCTTGCCAGGTATCGACCAAGGAGAATTATAGAACATAGTGTTACAAAGACAACTACAGCCACTATTCCTCCTATAAGAGCATGGTCAGGTCCGGTCTGTCCAGCCAAAGCGTTTGGATCTAGAGGGAGAAACAAAAAGCAAAAGTGGTCCTACACAGAAAAAAATTGACAGGAAAATTCACAATACCAAGTTTTATACCGATCATCCTGAAAATAGGGCATTTCCCTCTTTAATATTCAGCATGGTTATTCTCACTTTTACTATCAGTATCTTATCAACAACATAGTGCTGCTTGTATTCCCAGACTGTTAAAGCCCTGAGGACATCACAGTTATGAAAAATATTACCTTATTCTTCTTTGGCAGAGGTTATTAAGTGGGAAAGGTTTCTGGTTTTGTCCTCGTCATTTTACAACTGAAAACCTGGCCATAGCTATTTATAGAAGGAAAAACAAGGAACTGAGAATTGGGGATCAGATAGCATCAGCAGAATAGTGTCTGCATAATACATAATTTATAGAACTGATTCTCAGTGGGGAACCCTTATATATTCTCTTCCTCTCGTTCCTATCCTATTGCACCAGAAATAAAAACGCAGATAAAGTACAGCCGTGCCAATTTCCTCTGCACATGGCTGAGTCTGCATGAATTTGGTCAGATAAAGGTATCAGGCAACCTGAAAGATCATCATTCAGTCTCAAACACCAGTTTGTGAATTTACTATGAATACTTGATTAATACCCAACATGAGCAAGCTGTAGTAGATATAACAATGTATTGGCAGATTCATTTTACTAACTCTGTGCAGAGCACTAGGAATACTGCCAGATTCAAGGTTTCTGTGCTGGTCATTTGCCTGTTCTGTTCCCTGGTGCTTCACAAAAGTTGCAAAGAGGCAATCATGGGGAATGGCACTACTTCGGGGTGAGTAATTCTTTGGAGCTTTTGAACAATGAACCAGCAACCCGTGACTGTTGACTCACCTGAAATATGCAAAAGAAGGTAAAAATTCAATCTAAGGATCACGGTAAGATTTCTATTTTAATGAAAATGCCTCTGCTACAATGTAATAGTAATTTTCTGAAGATGCTATTAGCATGTACTGTATGTTGCAATCAGTCTACTCTCACTGCTTCAAGGGCATTTCCCTTGTAGGAGCTGTTTATATTCTACAAGTAGTTTGCAAACAATTCCTTTGCTTTGCGAAAGGGAAAGGCAGGAAAAATATTTACACAGAAAATAGGGTAAGTCTGTAAAGATGATAGAGGGGCCCCTGATAATGCCAAGGAGGTGTGATTCCATGATACCATAATTACATTCTGTTGACCAGGATCATTGTACAACAGTACGATGTATAGATATATCTACATACACACAAGTGTACATAAATATAACGTTATACAGATGAAATAAAAGAATCATGTTTTCCCCTCCTTTTGTAAACTGTCAGGCATACTACACTTTCAGGTTTGCTGGAGCACAGAGTGGTATGGCCACTGTTACAGATACAGTTCTGCTCTTAACAGTCAGTGAACCGTCAGGCATGGCTTTGTCACTTATTGCTGGCTTTCTAAGCTCCCACATCTTTCTTTTCTGGCTGCTAAGAGGACTTTGGGGGAAGCTGGCCACAGCACTTCTGTGGACATGATGGCAAATAGAAGGTATTGGCCTCAAAAAAGCTAGAAACACCTTATAAAGTCAGATGCGCCTGCCCCCTCTTCTGTCTCCATGAACCTCCTGGCACGGTGCTACTGTTGGTGGCAATACGCTGAGTATGTAGACTCAGTCCAAGGGGACATAATTTCTATTTTGGTGATTAAAAATGACCCCAAGTTCTGTGTGCCAGCAGCCTTGCAGGGAAAACAAGACAGCTGAAGTCTCGCCTCCCCAAAGCAAGAGCTTGAAGTGTGCTGCCATCCTTTCCCACACCTTGCAGAGGCTCTGTTTTCTGAGGGTGGTAAGGAGGAGGTGACTGCTTGCTTGAGAAAATGGAAGGTGACAGCTTGCTGCAGGATTGTCAGCCTGCTGGAGCCATCTAGCAAATTCCTCCTTCTGTGGTGCCTGTAGCAACATTGCTGTAAACCTCCTCCCTGCAGCAAAAAGGCAGCACCCACTTGAGCACTAAGGAGTAGCAATGACCCCAAGTGCTGCATGTAACTTGCAAGAGGTGCTATTCCCCAACACTGGACTAGGAGCAGCATGAACATGTTTTCCCATTAAAAGCTAACTGCTGCTAGCATACTAGCAGTAAAATTAAAGAATGAAAGGACGTATTTTAAGGCATAACATACTTCCCGATGCAGAGTATAATCCAGAGAAGGGTTAGTACAGCACTTTATCTAGAGGCAGTTTTTGAAAAGCTGATTGCAGTGTACAGCCTTAGCTCACTACCCAGATTTACAATGTATCTCCTCTGTGAGCTTTAATAAACATTACAAATAAAAATTCTCACAATACACTGATACAAATATGCCTCTCTGTTTTCATCCTCAGGTGATTTCCTATATATAGCTACTCACTCCTCCTCTGACAAACCTGATGTGACTACACGAAGTGACCTAAAGCCAGCATAAATATAAGGTTCCCACCTATTAGTGTGGATTAATGAGATTCTACTGCTGCTACAGGTTGAAATTTGTAACTTTAAAATTAATTTAGGTATTCTTTGGAATGCAAAGGTAGTATTGTATTTCTGCTATAATCTCTTAACCCTGGTATCAAAGCCAGATTATATTGATAAGTATTGCTAGACAAGTTTGTCCACAAAAAAGCTTGTACATGGCCTATGACCATTATATTACCACTGAACAATGTATTTGTTAGAAAGAAAAGAGGAAAGAAAGGAGAGGAAGGAAGAGATGGAAGGGAAAGAAAGAAAGAAAGAAAGAAAGAAAGAAAGAAAGAAAGAAAGAAAGAAAGAAAGAAAGAAGGAAAGAAAGAAAGAAAGAAAGAAGGAAAGAAAGAAAGAAGGAAAGAAAGAAAGAAAGAAAGAAAGAAAGAAAGAAAGAAAGAAAGAAAGAAAGAAAGAAAGAAAGAAAGAAAGAAAGAAAGAAAGAAAGAAAGAAAGAAAAAGAAAGAAAGAAAGAAAGAAAGAAAGAAAGAAAGAAAGAAAGAAAGAAAGATCCTCAAAAGTGGCCAATATTTTCTTGAGAAACAAGCATTCTTTCCTCTCAAAATGAAAATCTTTACAACATAAGCAATATTCTGAACAGGAAGTGCACCTCATAGAAATATTCTTCACCTAGAAAAATAATGTTAGCATTAAATATAAATATACTTTACATTATGCATACAGAGTAATGCACTATACTTTTGCCTTTCATGAAATGACCTAAGCCCCATGAGCGAGTTATAGATCTGGGGCTATCTATCATTGTATAAATAATTACTATGTCAAAATGTGCCTGAACAGTATCTGAAAGATAGAAATACAGGGGTTTGGAAGCTATACCATTTTGTATTTTAGGTATTTATACAGTGAACATGTATAATTATTCAAGCATTCTGGGCATTTGTATTAGCAGCTCCCATTAAAGCTCCTGAAGGTGCTAAGTGTGTATTTGGGCACTGACCATTCCGCAGTTTGCCTTCCAAAAAACAGAACAGTATTCAGATTATTTTTAGATTCCCATTATGAGCTTCCGGGGCTTTACCAGGTAAATCCTACCCTGCCACACATGTAACTCCAGCAAATGAAATCTTAAGTATGCAACTGTGCAATAAATACTTATAATCCATCTGTGTCCATAAAAAAAAAATTAGATTACTCTGTTCCTGTTTTAAATATAGACTGGTTTTTTTTTACTGCATGAGCACAGGCAGCTAAAGTAGTCATGGCCTGAAACAGTGAAATTAAGAATTTGTAATCAGTCTAGATCTTCTTCAAAGATCAGTTCTTTTTCTGTTTATTTCATCCTTTGATGAGACTAAGGAAATCTTATAGCAAGATAATGACACGAAAGCTCATAATTCCCTTTTATTTGTTTTTGTCTTAAATTTAGGAAGCCTCTTCAAACTACTTATTGCTGATGCCGTGAAGTTGCACTTATTTTCAACTTCTGGGATTTGCCCATTACTGTTTGTTCACAAACCTACAGAAATAATACACTTAAAATGACTAAGAGGAAAAAAATATATCATTCATTAAGAAATTAAACACATCAGATAAATCTCACACCTATTAAGTAGGTAGATATGTGCTTTTTATGACCTGCTGACAAAGTTTCAGTGTAGAATATTTTTATATGAATTCACTTGTTAGTTAAGCAGAGAAATTTTGGAACAGTTTTTCATACTTTTGCATAAAGTATATGCTAATTATTAACCTAATTTCATTTTCTTCCTGCATAAGTTTTCTTCTTATTTATGCATAGTTGACTTGACTGAGCAGGCTGCAAGAATGGGTCAGATAACCCTTTCCTGAGCAAAGGGAGAACAAGCACATTTGTGAATGCTGAAATGGCATATTTTGGGGAATATGTGCTCAAGTAGCCATCTTTATTGCAGAACTTTATTAACGTGTATTTTTGGCTCAGGTGCTGAATTTTTCAAAAATCACTCTGAGCATGAGATGTAGCCAGGTTTGAGGTATCCTAAATAATAATTTGTTTTGACCATTTCTACTAAAAGAAAAATTGGAAATAAAGGTCCTAATTTGCTGTGGAGCTTAAATAGCATTCAAAAAATGAAGGTATATTATGCAGATGTATTATTCATAAATTACTGTTCCTTAAGGCTAGGAAAAGAACAGGGATGTCCCATTTCTCAGAGAAGTACTGAAACCACCAGCCTACAGTCACTTTTACTGATTTCATGAATAATCAATTGCTGAGGCAAAGTAGAACTGCTCCAGCAAGGGATCCTGGGGCATGGCTCCATGTTACAATTTATATGGCAGAAAAATCTCTTCAAGTGACTCCTGCTTCTTTCCCCATATTAAAGGACTTGTTATCACCCCCAATACAACTTGCCAATACTTCATACTTTTGCAAATGCAATTATTTGAAGGGCCTGGCTCAAAATCAGATCAGTAAAGCAATGCGCTTTTTAAGGTGGGGAAACCCAAAAAGCACAAAAATCAAATAAATTGCTCTGTCTGTCATATTTGAAGGGCTGCTGA